CTAGCCAGAGGCTGGGGATCAGCCTGCGAGTCCAGTTTCTGGGCCACTGTAGGGTATCTTCTGTCCTCAGCCTTGTGAGAATGAAAGAAGATGGTGTGAAAAGATCCAGCCCAGACCAGAAGTTTGAGAAATATGCTATCCCTAAAGCTGGGGTCCTGGGGCCGTCCCGGGGTGAGCAGCACATGCTGGAAGGCCAGAGGGGAGAAGCCCTCTACAGTCCAGGTGGGTCTTTGGGCTCTGCCCTCTTTTGTGGCAGCCAGAGGCACTGCCTGAATTTCCCTTTAAAAAAGAACAGAACTTGCCAGCCATCGAGAGGACAGCTGGGCGGACAGTCTCCTGCTGTAGTGCCTCCGGGACCTGCCTCGGTTTCTGAGCGGAGGCCATCTTCATCCCAGGCAGCTTCCAGCGAGTGACCCAGCATGGACCTGGCCATTTCTGCCCAACATGGGCTACCTCTCATGGGCAGTCTTTGCTCTGGACCTCCCCACTGGGCTGACCATGATTTTATCAGATCTACCTCAGTCTGAGGTCCTCCCTAACCAATCAATTCTGCTTCCTCCCCCTTGAACCACCATGTCCTCTGTCTCTGGCGCCTCATATGGGACATGTTAAAAGTGGGAATCATCCTAGACATCTTGCTCATCCCCCAGCCATCATGTTGGGAAGATGCTACCCCCAGAGTGTCAGTTCCGGACATAGTTCAGACCTTTGGTGCTTTCTAAAAAAAGTTTTGTGGTAATCCTATCTAATAAAAGAGAAACATGGTAATTAGCCGTACCTCCGCTACCCTTCCCATTGGCTAATCAGGGCGATATGCAAATTAACTGCCAGCCAAGATGGCGGCTGGCAGCCAGGCAGCTTGAAGCGAACAGGAGGCTTGCTTGCTTCAGTGACGGAGGAAGCCAATGTTCCCCGCCTGCCGCTGCCGGCCTCTGAGCTTGCAGTTTGAACCATTGTTACAAATATAGAATCTAAACAAACTCCAGAAACCTGCTTTCAGCCAGCCGGGATCTCAGAGCTGGAGTTGAAACAGTGTTTCGATTATAGAACCCAAACAAACCAGATACCTGCTTTCAGCAGCCGAGGCCTCAGAGCTGGAGCCAAGCCTCAGAGCTAAAGCTGGCCCAGAATAAAAAGAAAAAAGAAAAAAAGGAGCGGTTGGGAGTTTCAGTCACCCGCCAGCCTGAAAACAGCCCTCAGCCCCTCACCCCAGACTGGGCAGGCACCCAGTGGGGACCCCCACCCTGAAGGGGGTGTGACCAGCTGCAAACAGCATCAGCCCCTCACCCAGGCTGACGAGGCACCCCAGCGGGACCTCCACCCTGATCCTGGACACTCTTCAGGGCAAACCAGCCGGGCCCCACCTGTGCCCGAGGCCTATATCCTATATTATAAAGGGAATATGCCTCCC